ATATACAGTACAGAATTAAGTTGATAATGATTACCAGAATTATACTTGCTTAGTATGTTCTTAAACATACTTTGATGTAAATGCGGAGTCTTTCATTGTCACTGCTTTAATATGCTAAATATTTTTTTTTAGAATCCACAGTTTAATTGATCGTACTAACATAATTTTTTTTTTAATGATCAATATAAAATATTTAAAAAAAGTTAAAATTTAATAATATTCATATTTGATTTATTTATAATTGATAAATCTTTTATAACACAATAAATCATTCCATTTTTAAGTAATTAATAAGTATCAATAGTATTATTATAAAAATATAATTAATTAATTTATATTTAATAATCAAGAACTATTTAAATAAAATATGAATTTACTTATTAATAATTAGCTTAACTTTATTATTAAATAGATAAAAGATTTGTTAAATTTTAAATAATATAAATTTTCTTATTATTAACAATAAATAATAAATTATTTTATAATATATGAAACATGAATTAAATAATAAAATTTTCATGTATAATTATAATAAAATTTTATTGTGATACTAAATCATTTTAACATTTTTTTTTTTTTAAAAAAATAATAAGATGTTTTTGAATTATTAGTTTAAAAATCTCTTTTCTTATCTCTCATATATTAATATTATAAAAATTTAATTAGAAATATTTGTTAATATACAGAAATTTAATTAATATAAAAGTAATATAAAATATATATAATTAATAATTTATATTTAAATTCTTTCTATTTTTGAAATTATTTCTAAAATCTTAAATTATTAGTATAAAATCTTTTATCAAAAGAATATAAAGCATTATCAGTAAAGTTATATTACAGTTATAATTTACTGTATTTTATAACTTGTAACATTTCTATATAACTTGATAACAGAAACCGTTGAAACGTCTGAAGCGTTCAAATAGTTGATATTTGATCAACTGTAATACGGGTTTACTAATTTACCCTACACTATGATTGGCTGTTATAACCGAGATTAGTTAGGGCTAGGGTTAGGTATTAAGTGATTTGTCACCAGCGTGACACTTGTGATGTTTCAATTTTTATTATATTTTTGAGGGACTTCGAATTTTTTTCGGTGGGTGATGCTTATGTGTCACGCTATTGGATGTTATAAATAAGCATAATCAATTATACTAGTATGGGGGTAAATTAGTAGACCCGTAATACAATAATAGTAACGTCCTACGCTTACACTTCAGACAATAGACTTCTATCTGAATAACATTTAATAAAATTTATGTAATAAATTATAATTAAATTAATATATTAAAAACTACAAAGTGCTTTTACATTAACTATTTATAAGGCATAAGACATTATAATATCTTATGCATAATTCAATGTTAATTGAAATAAATAGATTGTAACAAAAATTCAACACTGTGTAAATTAATCATTATTTTAATTAAACTTAATATACCTAAGTATGTTGACCGACTATCTGAACTAATCTTTTAATCAATTTAGTAGAAATGCAAGATTTTATTGCCAATTAGAGTTATCTATTATACAGTGCAGGAAAAAAGTAATCAGAATTGTAAAAAAATTCAATAACTCAATAACCTATGATTAAAATTACTTCAAATCATACAATTTTTTTATTAAATAAATAAGCATTATACGTAAAATATTTTAGCATTTATCATTCTTTTTTATGCTACAACTATCTCGTAAAAAAAATAAAATAAAATAAATAATGTTAAAATGTTAAACGCAATTTTCTCAACATCTAATAAGCTTATTTATGTAAATTATTTTTTATCTTATAGTTCTAATTAAGCTCTACAAAATAAAAAAAAGGTTATTTAACTTGAACCATTGAATGCCGAGATATATATAAAAATAAAAAATAAAAAATAAAAAAAAGCAAATTGGTATGTATTACTTCAAATTTTGCAATTATATTAATAAATATATAGATATTATAAATAAAAGGTTTTAGCACTTTATCGTTTCTTTCCTATACTGCAATCATCTTTTAAAAAATAAATAAAAAATTAAATTAAATTAAAATATTAAATACAATTTTCTTAGCTTTTAATGATTCTATTAGGATTTCCGTTTGAAAATAGAATATTTGAATATTTGTTTGTAAATAAATAAAATTCAAATATTCGAAAATACATCGAATATTGAAATCAATTTCAAAAATTCATTTTGGATATCAACTTGATTTCAAATTAAAACTAAAGCTTACCTAATCTGAAAAATTTAAAATATTGAAAAAACCAAAAAACAAAAAAAGAAGGAAAATCTCCTCAAGATTTCTACGCAAATTTTCGATGACCCGAACTTTCACCATTTCTTTTCTTCGTTTCTCATCAGCTGAACCAAATTCGACCGAATTGTGAATATGATCGTGTAATTCTGGATGTTTGAAAAGAAGGGATGGACGACCAGGTCTATCATATTGGTATGTGAAATAAAAAAAAATAAATATTCAATATCGGTTTAAAAAACTTTCAAATATTTGAAATACAATTTTTATTTCAAACGGAAACCCTAGATTTTATTTATGCAATTTTTATATATTTTGTAGTCTTAATCAAACTTTACAAAATAAAAAAAATTGCTTAAATTGGATACCAAAATATTTATAAAATAAAAAATGAATTAAATATACAGTCATGTTAAAATTTTAAAGATAATAATTGCAGCATAAGAAAGAATGATAAAATACTTATATATTTAAATAGATTATTGAGTTATTGCATTTTCTACAATTCTAATTACTTTTTTCTCGCACTGTTTATAAAAAGATAAAACATTTTTAAAAATTACAAAATTTTGTAGCAAATTTATTTTTCAAAAAAAAATCTTGATTCAACCAATTTAATAAAAATTTATTGCGCTTTTTTCTTTAATCCAAGTTGTATTTACGCTCAAAATAATCTTATCCTTTAATCAATAAAATGATTGGAAAAGAAAAAAAAAAATTATATTTTTTAAATAAATTAACCATTTTTTTAATATTAATTAACAGAAAATTTATAATAAAAATTAGTTTATTCTGAAGATGGTGTTATTATTATTAGTATTTCTCTTATAATAATAAAAGTAAACAAAAATTTGGTTTTTCTAAAAAAAAACTAAATTTGATTTTTCTATTTAAATGTTACATATTACGATAGTGACTATTATCGTTATTAATTTATCGTATCGCAGTAATTATTTAAGTATAATTAATAAAATACGAATTTATCATTTTTTACATAAATATTAGACATTTTTGTTAGAACAAGTTTTTCATAAATAGGAAGTATCAATTTTGATTATCCCAAAAAAAATTACCCAATTAATTCGTAAATTACTATATATGGATATCCGATCTTTTGATAGCCATTTATAGTCAATTTCCGATGACCATTAAAATAATTAGCCTTTGTTCTTCATTTAAAAAAAAAAAAATATTTATTTTTATTGCTTAAGATGGAGGATGGTTACCCTGACAAAAGCTATAAAAATAATAATAAACAAGACAATCGACCTGACATCAAATATGGGTCAGGATCTCAAGACAACCTTTTACTTTCAAATTATATTAGTCCGAAACAAGATAACTTGGTTGATGACATTGGATATGGGTTAGGATCTCAAGACAACCTTTTACATTCAAGTTATTTTCCGAAGCATGATAACCTGGTTGATGACACTCATCGTGACATTGGATATGGGTTAGAATACTTTTTTACATTCAAACATATTAGTAAGAAGCAAAATACCCTGGTTAATGACACTTATCTTGATTTTAGATCTGGGTTAGCGTCTCAAGTTAGCCTTGAAAATAATAAAAATGAGCCGGCCACTCGTCAGAAAAACAGATTCAGGTTAGTATTTAAAGAAACTTTTTTAAATTTAAAAATATTAATATGCAGAAAATTATCCCGGTTAATGACACTTATCTCAAATTAACCTTGAAAATAATAAAAATCGGCCACTCGTCAGAAAAAAAAATTTAGGTTAGTATTTAAAGAAACTTTTTTAAATTTAAAAATATTAGCATGCAACAAATTATCCTGGTTAATGACATTTATCTCAAATTAGCCCGGAAAAAAAAAAAGAGCCGGCTATTCGTCAGAAAATCAGATTCAGGTTAGTATTTAAAGAAACTTTTTTAAATTTAAAAATATTAGTATGCAGCAATTATCCTGGTTAATGACACTTATCTTGATTTTGGAACTGGGTTAGCGTCTCAAGATAACCTTGAAAATAAGACAGACACTCGTGGGGACATCGGATTCGGGTTAGTATTTAAAGAAATTCAAAATTATTAGTAAGAAGCAAAATATCCTGGTTAATGACATATGTCTTGATTTTAGATCTGGTTTAGTGCCTCGAGATAACCTTCAAAATAATAAAAATAAGCAGGACATTTATCAAGACATCGAATTTGGGTTAGGATTTCAAGATAACTTTCGATATTCACAATGTAATCATAATAATTTAACTGATGATACTCGAGGTATTCGAATAGATATCGATAAAAAAATAGGATTTATACAAACTCTTGATCATCTTACAAAACCTCTTTGGGTCGAACGACTTGAAAAATTGGAAAAAGTTGCATGTATTTTCAATGTACCGCGTGATAAAGAAGATTTGCTAATGAAATCAATTCACCTTTTAAAAGATGAAAAACATTCCCTGGAATCTGGGCAGATGAATAATGTTTTTGGCTTCTTTGATAGAAATATTTCTAATTTTAATGAAGATTTTTGGAAATTGATAAGTGAGCTTTCAATTTCCAATGATTTCATTAAATTTTTAAAGGATATTGCTGGTCATGATATTACAAATTTGATTAATGGTATAGATGATCATTCAGATGAAAATTTGATTCAAGAAGATACGATTTCGTCATTGATTCAGGTCAACCAATCTTTGTCTCCTCTTGTTTGGTGTACTACTGTTCCCGATTTTTTGGAGAGGTTATCAATAGTTATTAATAACAATCCCACCTTAGGAGAGAAGTTCTCGTTATGTAAAAATAGCTTTTTGGCATTACAAACCATGTATAATACTAATCATGGCAAAGTTAAAGAAGAAAAAATTAAAAATATTGTAACTAATGGGACTTACACTTTTATACGTGATAAAAATAGAGATAAATGTATAGTTTCATTAAAATATACCTCTAAACCTTCTAAAACTGAGTTAGTATATAACTTAAATCAAATTTTAGGTTTACATGGGCGAGCTCTTTCAATATCCAAACCAATATCCAATATAAATGATATGATAAATGATAGAGATGCGAAAACGGATGAATTTATTGCTCAAGTTGGAATTGTTCAAGAAATTATAAACATAGTGTCTGTATTATTGCAAATGGGGCATTTTGGTTATAGAAGATTTGAAAAGCAAATACAAGGAACACAGAATATGAAAGATTATCTTAAATATTTAAAAAATGATATTGAAAAATGGTTAATATTCAATATCCTATATCAATGATTCTCATTTTTATTCATTAATTGTTTTATTAATTATAAATTATAATTTTACAAATTAATTAGGCAATCTATAATAGATCATGCACATGAAAGATATTATTATTTAACATTCTTTTCTGCTCACCATATTTTAGCATTCTATGATTACTTTACATCAGAAAAATTAGATGAAAAAAATGAAGAGGATTGCAAAAAATTGATTAGATTTGTTAACGACGAAGCTCGGTTACCATCCCGTACTGATATCAAAGGAATATCATGTAAGACACATGATTATAGTGAGATACTCTTAAAAATTGGTAACGAATTGGAAAATATTTTTAGAAATAATCCAAAGCAAGCGCGTAAAATTACCTCCGGACATCAATTAATATCAAAGACAATTATAAAGGACAACTTATTAGTTGTTACTTTTATCAAACAATCACAATTTCCAAACACAATAATGACATTGTATGCTAATTATGGATGTTATCCCGAACCATGGCAATTTTTAGCATGTACATCAACTACTACAATAGAGGAACTTTCTATTTTTGTCAAAAGAAATTTCCTTGCTTCTAATAATGGATATAGAAATCATTTATTCTGTATTTTGAGTGTAGAATTACTAGATTTTGAGTTGCAGTATAATTTAGTAAATTATATTAAAACAATGCAAATGAAATATACAAATGAAAATTATTTTTTAGCACTTCTATGTTGTCGAGAATCAGGAATTTCGCAATATATTTTAGATCAATCTATTTTAAAAATCCATGAGGTTAATGGTATAGATGATGAAATGATGCAAACAATTTATCAAGAATTATGTCCGAACGTATTATGTGTTTCTTCAGATTTATCATCCCAAGGCAAAACAGAATGGATCAAAGAGACTAGTTTTTCTAAGCAAAAAATCCCACATTATTTCTTAATAAGTGATGACATGAATTTTGAATGTATTGTCAGTAAGCTTAGAGAATGTAACTTTAAGCTTATAGAAAGCCTACACATTAATATTTTATCGGTCAACTTTCCGAATGATGTGAATCAATTTTTGTTCGAATTATTGACTTTTAAGAGGATTTCATATAATAAGATGATAGTTTCAATTCCCGAAACTTTCATTTTTATTGAAATAGCTTCCTCATTAAATCAAAATTTACTTAAATGTCTTTCCATGATAAAATTTTTACCTTCTAAGCATTTGTCCTGGAATATTAAGAACTTTAGAGTATCTCAAGAAGTAACCAATCCAGTTCAAGTTGTGTGTCATTTTTTAAATTTACGTGATCTTGAAGATATTGACACAAATGAATTTTTATTTCAAACGTCAAGATATACCAAAGATCCTTTATCGGAAGAACTTTGTCAATATCTTATTAAGAAAGATCTTTTGATTAAAGGTGAAAAAAATATATTGACATTTAAATTCATTGAAGTTTTCGTTAATGTTTTAGCGGATCAATTAATTAGGTTCTCATCAAGTCTATATTTCACTACAAGCAAAGAAACTAATCTCAGATCAACAGTAATGAAATCATTAATAGAAATTTCAAGGGACTTTGCCATGAAATTTATTAAGTCAAAAGCAATACAACTTGAATCTTTACGTGAAAGTTCTCATCAAGATACATCAATTGTTCAATGGGATATTTCCAACCACAATATATATTTTTTTAATTCTCAAACTCCTAATTCCTTTTCAATATTTTATCACGACAAAAATCGAGTACCCGATAATATTAAATTAATGTTAAAGAGTCAAGCAATTGGTAGTCCAGAAAATTGGGAGTTGGATGATTACAATACTTTGTCTGCAAATGCGCTATTAGTAAGGTTAGAAGCAATTGCACGAAGTTCGACAAAAAAATTAGATCTTCCAGAATATGCCTTATCTAGTGATAATTTGATAAAAATGGCGCTAATTCTTTTAAGAGTGCGTGCAAACATTCCAGTAGTAATTTGCGGCGAAGCGGGATGTGGCAAGGTAAATTCTGATTAGTAAAGTACATGTTATTCTATTATTATTTACTAAATTTTAATTTAATTTAGACCAGCCTAATTGCATATTTAGCTATGTTGTCTGAAGTTAAGTTCCAAGCTCTTAATCTTCATGCTGGAATTCATGAAGAATCTATCATGACATTTATGAATAATGCTTTGAAAGAGGCTGAAAAAAGCGAGATTTGGTTATTATTTGATGAAATCAACACTTGCAATTATATTGGTATGCTTGCAGATTTAATATCCCATCGAATGCTTGATGGTAAAATTATACATCCAAATATTCGTTTATTCTCTGCCTTCAATCCATATCGTTTTCGTTCAAGGGGTCAAAGCGATAATGGTTCAACAAATAAGTTTCAAATATATGAAGAACAAAGTAATCTTGTCTATAAAGTCAAACCACTTCCTGATCAAATTTTAGACTATGTATGGGACTATGGTATTTTAAAACCAAACGATGAATACAAATATATTCAAATTATGGTTGAAAAAGAATTAATGAATCTGGCTCATCCAGTTTTTGCCGAGCTCTTATATGCTTCCCAGAAATTCATTCGTAAGGTCGAGGAACCCCATAGTGTTAGCTTACGTGATGTCAAGCGAGCTATAACGCTGGTGAAATTCTTTTATAAATCTCTTGAGAATCTCCCGGCTTTTATAAAGGGGAATAAATATCCACCATCTGGAAATCCGACCGCGATAATCAGGTCTTATATTTTAGCGCTTAGTCTTTGTTATCATTCTCGATTATATGAACAATGGTTACGTAAACAATATCGTCGCGAAATGGGACAAATATTACAAAATCATAAAGCTTATGTGGGAGAGCATATGTTTGCTAGAGTTATTCGCGATGAGCAGGAAGACTATATTAATAGAATGCAATGTCCACCTAATACAGCAAAAAATGAAGCTTTATTAGAGAATGTTTTGGTTATGATTGCATGCATCTTAACAAGGATTCCCTTATTTTTAATCGGTTCTTCCGGGTTTGTATTTAATAATTTATCATCATTACTTGTTATTATTTCTAAATTTTCTAATTCTTACTTAATTCTTAAAAGTTCATCAAAATCTTTAGCAATTCATCTTATTAGCTCGAACTTACGTGGATCTGATTCGAATGACCGTTATTTTAGAAGTTTACCAAGAGTTTATCTCATTCCACATCAGGGCTCTACCTCTTCAACTTCTGATAGTATAATAAAAGTGTTTGAAAAAGCTAATAAATATCAGGAAACAAATTCTAAACAATTTCCTATCATTAGTGTTGTTTTGCTTGATAATGGTAACTTTAAATTTTATTCGATTCAACAAAATATTATTTTTTAAAAAAATTTTATTTTTATTTTTATTTTTTAGTCGGATTGGCTGAATTAAGCCCACTCAATCCATTAAAATTACTTCACTCTTTGCTTGAACCAAATTACCCAACAAAAGGACCCATTGTGTCGGTGGTTGGAATATCAAATTGGCGCTTGGATAATTGTAAAACTAGTCGTGCATTACTTGTTCAAAGGTAATTTTTTTTATTTGAAAATTTTGTGCGATCATCATTTGATAACCTCCCATATTATTTCTTTCCAGACCGCTATTTGATTTAGATGATTTAATTGTTACTGCTGAACAGTTATTGAGTAAAGGTATTAGACGTAGTCAAAGAGGCGCTTTAGAACCATTAGCCAAAGCATATTCTGATTATGAAAAACACGGTCAAGATTTACCTAATTTCCATGGTCTTCGAGATTATTACGCGTTATTCAAACGGCTTTCATTAGCCGAAATGACACCAGAGAATATTCAAATGGCATTAGCTCGTAATTTTGGGGGAGCTGAAAATGATAAAAAATTATACGAAGATTTCTTTGGAGACGTTTTCAAAATATTTAATAACCACAATCCATGGTTCTATAAACAAATTCCAATTGAGCAACTTATCGATTCAAATTTAGAAGATCCTGATGCGCGTCATTTAATGGTTATCGGTAAAAGTGATTCTATTGTAAATTTATTAACTTATCAATTAAGAAAGAGAGAGAATTTGGATCCAGTTGTGATTTTAGGATCGCAATTTCCTGATGACCAGGATGACTATTATTACAGTGTTTTGAGTAGAATTATGGTAATAATTTGATTTTCTTTGGGGAAAGATTTTTTATTTCTTATTTTCTGAATATAATCATTCATTATTAGAATTGCGTTGAAGCCGGTAGACCATTGATTTTAACAGACTTGGAAACCGTTTATGGTATTTATTAATATATTGACTAATTTCATTGGATTCATTTGATAAATTATAATTAATAGTAATAAAATATATTAAATAGGAAGTCTTTACGATTTATGGAATCAAAATTATAATAAAGATTGTGTCAAATATTTCACACGAGTTGCTCTCGGAGCATATGCTACTCCTATGCTGTATGTAATTTTGAATATCTTATTTAACTTTTTCATTAGGATTTCTATATGTATTAATAATATTTTGTTATTTATATTTTGTAGTTACGTGTCAGCAAAATTTAAATGTATTCTTGTCATGGATGAAAAGAATTTGGCTTCGGCCGATTCGCCGCTTCTTAATCGATTCGAAAAACAAAAATTGTCGATTCATGATATACTTAATGATAAGCAAAAAGTATTGGTAGAAGATTTAGGCGATTGGGTAAGACGTATGTCAACTTTAACTGGAGTTAATCAAATGAATCAATTACGTAATAGATTCACACAAAAAGACCTATTCGTCGGTTTTGATAAGTATGAAACTTTACAAAGTTTAGTTATCGACGTTACCAAGGATAATCCTGAAATTGAGGATGATGAGGTTCTAGAAAAATGTAAGGAGTGTTTAATAGCAATAGCGTCTTCTGATGGAATTCTGAGAGCCGAGCAGTCTGCCTTAGAACGTGATGAAGTCGAAAGATGGAAACACGTTTATTTCCAACAACAACATCATGATAGCCTTTACGATTTTTTTGATGATTTATTAAATCATGAAAAATCGTTATTGGACAGCAAAGGTCACTTGTTAATTGTTAACACTTTCTCTAAAATTAATATCGATCTCAAGTCTTGTTTGCAAGATCTTTTAAGATGTCAAGTATACAATTTGTTATTCTTAAGGACTGAGGCACAGTTTTCAAATCTGGTGAAAAATTTCTTTCTGGAATCAACTGACCAAATACTAATCCTTCAATGTGATGTTGCAGCTAATAATGCTGGATGTATTAAGTTGGCAAAACGTATTATGGAGCAGTTCGAAAATGAATTTAGGGCCAAAAATGAAACATGTATGAAATATGCGTGTATAGTATTTCATGTTAAACGAGATCATGAATCAAGTTTAGTATCGCCTGACTTCATGCGCCGGTGGAAACATATTACTATCGAATCCTTAGAATCACAAAAGATGTCATTAGTAAATTTATTGGATAATTCTTTATATGATGTAATTAAATCAAACCTATTTGAAAAAACAGCCGTTCCAACAATGTCATTTGAAAAAGTTTTGGATGATGAATTATTATGGTGTTTATCATGTATAAAATATAAACAATCTAATGAAAGTTATAATAGGTATGATATTTAAGGTCTATATATTTATATTATCTTTTAAATAATTATCATTTTAATGACCCATTGATTTATTAATTTTAGTGTATTAAGCAAAAGAATTTTAAGCGATTTAAATTTCATACAATGCATAAAAGAAAAGACTTTTGAATGGATTTCAAAGAATTTTGCATATTGGCAATATGAAGTAGCTTTAAATAAGAAAGTTTTATCAAAATTCGCTTGCTTTACATTAGCTTTACAAAATTATATTAAAGTAATCATTAAACAAACGATTTCTAAAGTTTTATATTCACTTGAAAAATTATCAGCAACAATGACTTTTTTCAATATTAAATACGGTGAATCCGAACTGAAAAAAGAGTTATCTGATTTATGGAAACAATTCTTTACAGACAACATTATAATCAATATTGATAGTTTACCCGAACCCAAGCCTTTTGCATATATAATTCAACATTCGATGATTAAAGATCTTGAATTTCCTTTTTCATATTATTTTATGAATCAAATAAATTATTATAAATATTATTATTATGAAGAACTAAATATAATCAAGCAAGATCCAGAAGTTATTACTCATAAAGAATTGTATGAAGAATTGGTTGAAGAACATTTAGAAAATTTTAAAGATAACTTAATTTCTATCAATTCAAATTTTAAAATCTTGCAAAAATATTCAAAATTATATTATAATGATTTTATTAAAATCATTTTATCAACTTATGCTTCTAGAAAAATAATTAGCAAAGAAGTATTAGATTTCATTTTAAGACAATTAATTGGAGATAAAATAATCGATGATCCATTTCTACTTCATATTTATTGGTGGAAATATGAAGATAATATTTCAATTCAATTAAAATTAGTTGAAATGTTTCCAAGTATTATCACAAAGGCTCAAAAAGACTTTATTGTTCATGGAAAACTTGATCAATATCTTTTTAGAAAGGCAATTAATTTAATTCTACAAAATATATGTGACAATAAATCATGGAAGCAAGATATTAATGTTGTATTATCTCTCTTTGATAAAATTATTGATACAATAAATTATAAAAATTTAAATTTACTACTTATATGTAGTGATTTATTAAAAATCAATTTGATTCCATTAGGAAAAATCAAAGAAATTATTAGTATAGGCAAATCTAGCAAGAAGCGAGAATTCATTACAGTTGATATCATTAATCTAGTATTTAATAGTTTAGATGATATTAATGATACCGGTCCTATTAAATCCCTAATTATAAGAACTTTGAAATTTACTTCGTTAGAATCTGAGGTTCGGCTAGTTCTTTACAAAAATATTTTTTCAAGAAATCCTTTTAAATTCAGTGGTATAATAATTGAAAAAATATTTGCCCTTGAAATCCAACAGAATAATCAAATATTTTTTACATTAATGACGAATTCCAAAGAAGCTTTAGAGCTTTCAATTAGATTGAATGCTATTAATAATGTTATCGAAAACATTAATTCAGATATAGCAGTGCGTTGCTGTGAGGTTATTCAATCAATTTTTAGCGAATTTAATTTGAATGAATTATTACCTTATTTCAAACATTCGAATGAAACCTTTACTAAACAAGGAGTCTTGCAACAAATAATCTTGATAGCATTTCTTAAAGAATTGATATATAAATTCTGGAAGGATTTTATTCAAGCAGATAATCGTATATTTAAACTTTTGATTGAAAACATTAATAATTTTATGAAACTTAATCATTCATTTATACAATCCTTACAAACATACTTTGTATATCAGCGAAATTTATTTGTTAATATAAAAACTCCAGAACTTGAAAAGATGTTTCCATGGATCGGAAATTATGCAGATAAAGGCCTTTCTAAAATTTGGCAACCAACAAGAAAAGTGAATTTTGAAGATTTTCGTACTTATAATAACATGCAAAATTTCGAAAATCATCCATTCCTTTCAGTATATTTTAAACATTATGAGAAATTAAAACTTATAAAGTACCTCTATCCAATTATTAGATTTGTAAAGATTTTAAACTTTAAACTTGATTACTGTTTGACTAGAAAGGCAGCTCAAATCATGACGTTTCAGGAATTTATTGAGAAAGAATCTTTAGATGAGAATGAAATGATTAATTTAAAAATTTTATTTGAAGAATTTGCTTTTGCTTGGAATTCCGTTATTAATTTCATTATTCAATATCAATCTAAAGAATTACCTTTTAACAAACCATTTATGAATCTTGAACTTCCCGTTATATTTGGTTTAATTGAACCAAAGGATAACGGAATTTATTTATGTGCGATTTTAGACTTTTTGATTCAATTACATAATGAATTTTTGGATAATGTATTGGCCATTCCGATTGGTAAATCACAATGCCTTCAATTTTTGGAGCATTCGTCTCGGAATAATCCTAATTCCGGAACATGTTTGATTAAATCAATCGAGGTGATTCAAGCACAAGAAATTAATTTTATTGATCATGAATATGATGATAAGATATTAAAGTATAGTCAACAAAGTCTGGAAAAGGATATAAAATTCATATTTGATTTACAAAAAATTGAAATTAAACTTGCTAAAAAATTGGTCCTCAACAAAGTTTATTTTAAAATAGAAAATGGTTCCTATACAAAAAATTATATATTTAAGCATGAATTATTTCATAATCATTTAAGAATTTTTTCAGATATTAAAAAGGTATTATTACAAGAACCTATTCCGGAAGACAAAATGTTATTGATTTTAGCGATGTGTCAGCCTACGAATACTTCCTTTATTTTAAAGAATTCGTTAAATTCAACTGATTTATCAGAATTGCTCTTCCTTTTAGAAATGATTCTTTGCTTTATTAAAGAATTATCACTTACAAATAACGATATACTCCTTGTGGATTTTGTTAACCAATGGTTGAAATTATCAAGATATAACATAGCATATGTAGAAATAAACATATTTAAAGAATTTTCTTTAAAACATATTATAGCATTTTATGAATTAATTGAAGAGCAAAGTCGCAAATTCAAAAATACATAATATCGAAGATAAATTTAAGGTCGAGTTAATGCAGCAAATGAAGGATTCAATTAATGATAGTGTAATTTATCACTCTGATCAAAATCAACAGCTGATTTCTGCTGAAGCATTCGCTCTTGCATTAAAAAGATTTATTTATAGATTTTTAATTATTGAATCTAATATGGAAAACGAAAATTTAAGTACTTATTTCTTGGATTTTACTTTAGGTCTGTGGACAAATGATGTTAAAATAGGATTTGTTGAAAGATTTTTTCCTACTGGTTTACTAGTATCTCATGCTTATAATAGTTATATATTTATTACTGATGAAATTGAGGTAAAAGTTCAATTCACCTTAATACTTATTTTTTAAATATTTAATTTAAATTAATTAATTTGCTGATTTTTTTATTAATAGAAAATAAAGGTTAAAAGGCAAAATGATAAAATCCCATCTTCTTCATCTACTGGGATTAGAAAATCTTTAAAAAGAATTAAAAAGTTTAAAGAAGCAGCGAATTAAATTATTTAAAACATGACAATAAATTATTCAGATCGCAGGATTTATTTATTTTATATATTTTTTTTTTATGTAAATAAATAAATTACTTATCCATCACTGGTTTTATGGACTAAATTTTGTTAGTATACAGAATATAGTAGAATCATAAAATTAAAATATAAAAGCAATCTTATATGTTGAAACTCGTAACTCGTTCACTTTTTTTTTGTAATCTTCCTTAAGGTAAAATATTTCGTACGTGATATAACATATACTTTAATGTTAATAGATTCTTTTTGTACATTTAATACTGGCTAGTAGAGAATTTGGAACATAACAAGCGGTTTTGTTAACAAATCATGATCTTTCGAGTAAGTCCAATCGTAATACAACGTAAGAATTTAAATTTAAATTTAAGTTCGGATAAATTACAGAAATCAATACATTAGAGAATAAATATACGACACTATCTTTTCTAGCTAAAATTCGAAGATAATTCCTCATTCTAGTTATACAAATTATTTACATCTACCATAAACAATATACTAGCGGATTTGTCCTAATATCCTAATAAAGCTAATGCTGACCCTATAAAAAAAAAATTTATGTTTCTTAGATTTTGGCGCAATTATTTCAATTTTTCATATAAATGTTTTTAACAGAGACGGAAAAAATATTTTAATTTGATATATTGGAAAATTTAATACTTCTAAATTAAATTAATTATTTTTTGCAAAATTGTAAATAATAAAAAACTGACATTCTCTTAGCGTCCAATTTAAAATTGCAGAATAGACAAATATTATCAATAATGCTTTTGTAAATAATAGTACAGTTGATTTTCTCATTATAAAAACTTGTGGAAAAAATTAAAAATCAAAATAGCTAAAATTAATAAATTGATAAAATAACTCATTATAAATCATAAAAGTAACGCAAATCTGAATTACAAAAAAAAAACTGATTATTTTAAATCATATTATTGTATCATAATTATTTAAATAGATTTTTTAAAAGTCTTAAGCTATTTATATATGTATCTTAAAAAGTTATATAAAAAATTTTAGAAAATTTTGAAATTTTATTTAAATAATTTTGAATTTTATTATTTATTAAATTTCTGTATTTATTAATTTATTATATTATCGTTATAATAAAATATTTAAAAAATATTTATAAATTTGAAAAAACAAATTTATAAAATAATTATATAATAAAAATATATATAAAAAAAATATATTTTACTATTTTGTATAATCATCTTTTTTGGCTTAAAATATCATTAATTTACTTTAGCATAATATCATAATATTAAATTTTAACATAAACATTTATTTTAATATTATTTCATATTATTTGAATCTTTTTCAAAATTCAATCTTATTTTTTATAAATTTATATTATTATTCTATTTTACTTTATAAATGTTTAATCATATTTAAATCTGATAATTGAGCAGACTAATTTAATATTAATGATAGCATTATAATTAGTTGTAATGTGAGTGATCAAAAGTATCCGACACCTTAAAAGTCATGTGATTGATCAGTAAATATTGGCTTTAATAAAAAATTTTTCTTATTAATTAATTTAACTTTGGTGTTTAAGTAAAGTTATGCATCATAATAAATAACATTTATCCTAAAATTTTTTATATAGATCTGAATTATATTTAGTTAAATATTTTAGTACTTATCCAAAAATTTGGTGGTTTTAATGCAAACTTTCAGTTATAATTAAGCTTCAAATTTTTTGATTCTAATGTATTATGTGGATTAAGTAAACATGTTCATAATATTAAAAAAAGTTCATCCTTAAAATTTCAGGTTAATTAAATTTATGCTTGATGCAAACTTATTCAAAATATACATTTATTTTATAAAAAATATTTTTCTTTTATAGAAATCAGAATTGTAGCTAAAAATCAAAGAAATTTTTACAAAAAGTTGACTGGTATTTGAAAATTTTATTACTTATAGAATATTTTAATATAAATTTTATAGTAAATTAATATACATATTATTGAAAAATAATTATTTAAAATTTTTGTATGAAATTTATGTAAAATATAAAATTATAAATTTTTATTTAAATTAAATATTATACATTATATATAAATTTGACATTTCTGAAAATTCAAAAATATTTATTTTTTGATATAATAAAAATGTTTAGTTAAATAAATTAGTATACAGTCGCTACTGGTTATAACGAATCTGTTTATACTGAAAACTAGTTATATCGAACCATGTGGCGCAGAACCGATTTTTTATAATTAATTACACTGGATATACCGAAATTACATAGTAAAATTCCATATACCACATCCGAACTATGTTGGCTAAACCAAATATATTAGCCGCATATTTGATATACTGAACTGATCACGTGACTTAAAGTTATTTATAAGATTATCGTAATATGAATAATCTTTTTTTCATAAGAACACAGAAAATTTTTGTTTAAAAATCTCTGATATTATGTTAAGAAAAAGGGTTGTTCTTTCGGATGCACAAAAACGTGAAATATGTGAAACTAAAGAAAAAAATCCAAGTCTTTCTAATATTGAACTTGCATAACAATTTTGTATTGAAAAGTCAACAGTTACTGATATTTTGAACGAAAAAGAGCGTTGACTTGCAATTTCAGAAGGATAAGGAAATGTTAAAAAATTTCGTGGTCCAAAGTGACCTCAATTTGAGGAAGTACTTAGTATTTGGGTTGATAATGCACTTAATACAAAACAAGACATTGATAGTAATATTTTAAAAACTAAAGCAAATTATTTTGCTAGACAGTTTTCTATAGAAGATTTTAATAATTCAGAAGGGTAGTTATGTGGTTTTAAAAAACGTCATAGTTTGCGTCAGTTTAAGAAGCAAGGTGAAGCTGCAAGTACACCTTCTACTGAGTCAATAGCAAATGATCGTATTGCTTTACAACAACTTCTTACGTCTTATAATTCTGAAAATATTTGGAATGGTAATGAAACTGGCCTTTTCTGGAAAATAGAACCTTCTAGAGTTTTAGCACAAACTCCTATATCAGGTCATAAAAAAGAAAAATCACGCGTTATAATATTTTGCTGTGTAAATGCAGCTGACACTGAAAAAATAAATCTCACATTTATTCATAAATACAAAACTCCTCGTATTATGAGAAATATTAACTACAAAAATCTTCCTGTTTATTATTTTTGGAATAAGAAAGCATGGATGCAAGTCAGTATTTTCAATGAAGTTCTTTTTAAACTTAATGAAATAATGAAACAAAAAAAATGAAAAATTATCTTTTTAATTGATAATGCACCAGTACATCTTATTTTGGATGAAACTCAAGAAAAATTAGATAGTGTAAAAGTGCACTTTCTTTCACCAAATATTACTACTGAACTTCAACTATGTGATGCAGGAATTATTCATTCTTTCAAGTGTCATTACAAGCGTCTTTTTATTCAGAATCGAATTAATGCATATGATAATGTACAGGATGGTATTGTAGAAAAGCTTGATGATTATACTATCTACGATGCTCTACAAAATGCAGCTGAAGCATGGTCAATGGTGTCATCACAAACAATTTTGAACTGCTGGAAAAAAACAGATATTCTTCCATTAAATAATGAAATTGATGAATTTGAAGACCATGATACAGTAGTTTCTGATAGGTATAATTTAATTAATATTATATAATATAATATTATACATGATAGTTTACTAATACATATTTATTTTTTTTAGTTTTGATATAGAAATTGATGAGCTTGATATGTTACTTCTTCAACTTCCAGAAAAAGATCTTAACGCGTATAAATATATACATATTGAGGATGAAATGCCAGAGGGTGGATTTACTAATGATGAATTGTTAATACAGTTTTAAATACAAATAAAGAAGGAGAAAATATGGACGAAATTGAATTTATACCTATATTGGAAAAAGTTAGTCCAACAGAAGCTAAAAAATTTATAAGTGAAACTATGAGATTTTTATATAAACAAGAACGCGAATTTAGTGAAATTAGCGAAGAATTAAAGGTTTTAAGGAAATTACATAAACGAGTTAAGCTACTAATTGTACAAAATTTAAAGCAAGTTGATCTTCATTACTTTAATATTAACGATACAATTGAATAGTATAGCATTGTCGCACAAATTTTAAATAATATAATATCACGCAATTTATAAATATAATAATACATGTCATGTGAATGAAATAATAATAAAGATAATTTGTATTTGAAAAAATTTTATTAATCAGTATAATAATATATATGCTAATAATAAACTCTATATACTGAACAGTTCGGTATATAGAGTGAGCATTATATAACGAACTCATCCTATACCGAACTAAATCCTATGGAACAGAGGGTTCGTTATATTCAGTGGCGACTGTATTCATAGGTATACTTGTCTTATCTTGATAAATTTTTTATTTTAACATTTTCTTTAATAAAATGTTATTTTATATTTTCTAAAAAAAGATTTCTTTTATTAATATGTTATATTACCATTAAATACATAGAAATCAATTTTAAAATGCTAATTTATGCAAAAAATAACTAAGAAAAATAAATATTTATTATGATAAAAGTTTAATTCAATATTTATGCTAGTTTTATTATACAAACATTTTATTTTTAAATTATATAATAAACAAAATTTATAAATGTGATATATAAATTTTAAAATATATGATATAAATATATAATTACATTAAAACTAATAGAAATTAATAGATCTGATAAATCTGATAAAATAGCAGAATATGACATAATTATTATTTATATTATTTATATTATTTTTATTATTATTATTTTATATTTATTACAATTATTATTAATATATCTATTAGCATTGTTATTATTATTAATAATATTCTAATTATACTTATTATTATTGATCTTCTTTAATTAAAGAAAAAGATAGATTTTATCATTTAATTTAATTTACAATTAATAATAATAATAAACTTCAATAATCTTTTACAAATATAAATCTTAGTAATTTTATTCTTATTAATCAAATAAATTTTCTAATTAACATTATATCAAGTTAATTAAATTTAAGTCATAACTATTGTTTCACTAATTTCAAATCATAGTTAACTTATTTAACAAAAAAAATAACATTAAAAATATAATTAAAATTTGAGAAAATGATAATTATATACTATATGATTTTTATTTTTTTAAAAAATAATTATTATAATATATTTTTTATTAATTTAATAAAATTAATTATAAGTAAATTTTATTTAGTATTATATAAAAATGATATTAATATAATACAGTCAACTCTTTCTATAACGAATTTTGATATAACGAATTTTACAATACAATGGATTTTCATTGTCAGACAGATTTTTAAATATAAAAAAACCCTTACTATATCGAATTTAGTAATTAAAAATTCATACTACGTTTAACGAATTAAAGTCAGAAAAATTTATATATAAAATGACTCTCTT